ATGTTATCCGAACTTTGGTATCTAGGAAAGCTGAGTTCTGGGTGTAAAAGAATTTGGTTTGCGTTAAGCTATGAAGTTAATTCTTATCAAAAAGCATCAGACGCAGTCACACTGTGTTCCACCTCACCCTTCGGAGACCCTCTTCACGGATCCGGAGGTCATCGAGGTCGGATGACCTCTGGGCACCCAGCTCAGTAGATTGACCACAGCGCCGACTTCTCCAGTCCAGAGATGTCGCCAGGCACACAGGTTGGACGGAACCGTTTGCGTCTAGACTCTTAAGGAGTCGGAACAAAATCAGCTTTGTTCTGCAGGAACCGTTTGCTGTGTCAGCTTTGCAACAACCATGACGGCATGTCAAGGCTGCTTCTTAGTTAAAGAGATTTCGCTACGGACGGCCATTTCCGTAGCTTCTTCTAGAACTCTGTAGAACTGGAACACTGACTCACCGTAAAGTGAGTTTTGTTTGTATATTCTCATGTTAATTTCTTAACAAATCAGAGCGTGCCTTGTTAAGGGATATTACCAAGAATCTCAGAAACGCACGCCTTCTTTCAGATACAGAGGTTCTGATTTGTGGGTAAAAAAATATCTATGTGTCACGCGTTAGACTTAACTTTACCTTGTCCTTGACGAACCTTGTGTGAGTGTAGATGGTGATGGCCTTGTCATATCAAAACATTACTGATCCATTTATAAATTCATTTCAAAGATTAATAAAAACATTTCATTTAGTGTTCATATAACATTTGTTCATCAACCAAATTTTTCTTTAATGACTTATTAAACCTATACGTTTTAAATGTTCACATTATATTTAAGAGTTCATTCTTTCATTAAGCAACTGATCCAAGCTGAGAGTGTTCACTTTATTCATAGGCATGAAGAGTCCTGTAGAACGATAAGGGAAGCTTGGGGCCTTGAGGGAGGAACATCGTTGTTGACAACACGTTATCATGTGTTCAGAGCTGCAGAGAGGCTCTGAACTCTAGCTGATGGGATGAAGGCAGGCAGATTAAAAGCAACACATGAAGACTCCTGTCTCCAAGTCGACCAGATATTGAAGGGTCAAACTGTACTTAAAAACTGACCATTCCTGGACATTATACCAATAAAGCGCCTTGATTGGCCAACAAACCCGATAGAGCGCTGTGATTAGCCCACCAACCACAGCTCTCTATTGGTTTGAAACCCCAATAGAGAGCTGTGACTGGCCAGCCAGAATGCTGCTAGGGGGGCAGTAGAGGTTCCAAACTCTTGCTTTGCAAAGTTTGGTCTGGTTCGCTATGGTTTGGTCTAGTACACCGTGTGTAAACACAGAGGCTGTCTGTGAAAGAGGTGTTGTGATCTGTGTGTTTGTGTTATGTTGGAAACAGGGCGAGAGCTTTTCAAGTGGTTTCGATCCAAACCAGAGACCTTCTCCTGCCTCAGCCAAGATCAGGACGACTTTGAGGACGAGTCTGCCTACAGCCTGACACCAACTGACATCGCCCGCTTCTCTATCCTGTCTAATGACAGTGGTATTGAAAGGGACTTGCCTCCAGGTCCTGATGTTTCTCCATTATCCTCTCAAGACATCCCTATCATAGAAGTACCATGGGAACACCCCAAAAAGTAAATACTCATTTAAAAGTTTATTATCGCTAAAAATGACCTGGTGGGCAGTAAGATAATGGACTTGAGCTGAACAAAGCTGGCAATCTTCATAAACCATCTAAGTGAATCTAAGTGAACGTCATTTATGAACTAAAGCTAAACTGGTGTGTCATGAATGCTAGGTTCTGGACCCAAGGTGCAGGTGAACTCAGAATGTTTCATAATAATGGGGCAGCAGTAGCTCAGGTGGTAGAGCGGGTTGCCTCATGATCGGAGGGTCATGGGTTCGATTCCAGCTCCCGCCAGGGGTATCCTGCTGTTGTGTCCTTGGGCAAGACACTTCACCCAACTTGCCTGTGTTAGTGGTGGTCGGAGGGGGCGACGGCGCCAAATGGCAGCCTCGCTTCTATCAGACCTCCCCAGGGCGGCTGTGGCTACAAGTAGCTTACCATCACTAGCAGTGTGTGAATGTGAGAGTGTGTGAAAGCGTCTTTGGGTATCTAGAAAAGCGCTATATAAGTTCAATGCATTATTATTATTAAAACTAAAGTAAACAAGACTGGGAACTGGGATAACTGGTAGCTAAGACAACAGGGAGGCAGCAGGAGGATCTGATAACTGGAATAGTTTTAAGACTGGTGGAAGGCAGGGTTCTAATTACAGGGGAGCTAAGGGGAGCCCAGCTCCCCTGAAAGAGTAACAGGCCACCTATATGACATCCTTCATATAGACTGTCAGCATACCGATGATTCTTTTGAGTGGAGAGGATGGAGATGGCTGATTGTTTTTGCGCCCCAGGCAGCTGCGCACGACCACAGCAACATTCTCAAAGTGGCGCCACCAGAAGAAAATAATTAACACACGATCATTCATGTCCATTCATATTCTCTACTTTCTGTATTTTATTCGCGCCTGACGCGCCGTCACCCGTGCTCCGGTGACTTCACCTCACTGGTGCAGCTGCACAGTGTGCACTCTGCTGTTTTTCCGGTCAGTAGATGCCTTTGATCTGCTTAGTTTAAAAGTAACTCATGAGGTGAAAACAGAGGAGGCCAGGCAGCAGTTTTTCTCGAGGATTGAGAGGAGATGCAGGAAGATCAGAGACAGACAGGACAGGAAAAAAAAAACTAGACAACAAAACAAAGTGTTTGAAAATGCCACTGCATGTTTTTACCTTTATAAAGCAATCATTTATAAGCATGTAATATTTATATATATGATACAAATTAGGGATGGGTACCTTTGACATTTGAATCGATCCGGTACTAATTCCCGGTACCTACGGATCGATACCGGTACTTAACGGTACCAATTTTCGATACTTTTGAGTGTTTTATTTTTAATTCTCTTTTATAATTAAATATATATTTTTCTCAATATATAACCATATTTGATAAATATCACAATAAATAACATACAACTGTTTGTATTTTAACATCGTCCTTGTAGTTTTATAAGCTGATAATTAAACTGAAGCAAACATCTTTACTGTGAACTAAATTTACTGTGTATCTTCATTCCTTTTGCCGTCTTTTTTCATTAGATTTTTCCTACTGAGAAGTTAGAATTTCCGAGGAGAAAGCGAACGCACCATTAGCTGATAACAATGGTGGGAATGGAAGCTAATTTATCAAGCTAACGTTATCTTAAACAGTTTATTTAGCTGCTGGAGCAGATTAAAATGATGATGCCTCACACTTAGATCGTTGTCACTGGTTTCATCTTCACCCAATCACCCGTCGCATTTAGTAAAGTGAAGCCAAACTTTAGAGCGCGTTCATGATCTTCTAGTCGGAATTTCGGAGTTCCGAGGAGAAAGCGAACGCACCATTAGTGAAACGGAAGCTAACAAATCAAGCTAGCGTTGTCTTAAACATTTTATTTACCTACCAGAGCAGATTAAGATGAGGATGTCTCACTTTGTATATTATGTCGATGGCAGCGACCGATGACCGATGACATAACGCTCTTGCGCATGCGCAGCTGTCTAGGCAAGTTCTCGTTGTGAAGGACGGGTACCGCAACGAGGCACCGTTTGAAATGAAGTGAATCGGTAATCGGTCGGTACTGTGGAATTCGGTCGGTACCTTAAAAAGTACCGAATTCGGTACCCATCCCTAGTTCAGCTCACCTTCAAAACGCAGTCCCACCCCCAGGGCCATATCAAGGCATTTTGGGGGCCAAAGCAAAATAGACTTTGCTGAGTTGGTCAAACGGGCCATTTACCAGGCAAAGTACTTGAACAACGGTAGGTACTGCTAAAGGCCCAGTAGAGTTGCTGAGCGGAACTTCTGGTTACCTCACACTGATTGGTTGAAACTGAGGAGGAAATGAATCAACAGAGGTCATAAACAACAACTGGCATTTGTAAAATTAGAAGAGTTTGTTGTGAAGCAGAATGGAGCACCCAGTTTTAAAATCAGCATTATTAAAGTCCCAGCACTAAAAAAAATGCAGCAGAATTCCCCTCACAACCTTGTAATTCACGGGGCTTTGTTGTGTCACAGGATCTGGTCATTGAACGTTACTTTTTACATCACACAGCAGCTTTCCCTGTCTTCCAAAAAGATTAAATTGCATTACTTCAACAGAATAAAACTTTTAATGTTACCGTGGACGCTTTTTGGTGTTGATCAGGGACATCACTCATTGTCGAAGCAGTTGGGGTATACTGTCATCTGTGCAAAGTCTTGAAAGAGCTGATTTTGCATAGAAAACCACCGAGAGGACCTGGCCATCGGATCTCCCAGTCTATTTGTCCTTCCCAGTAAATACCCTGAAGTTCCGACACCTTTAGTTTCTCACACAATCCGCCCCAGCATCTCTATCAGGTTGAGGCTTTGAAAGTGCCTAATTACACCCTCTTTATTTGGGTGCATTGCTGATTGCTGGTGTGTTTTATAGCATGGATTTGCCTCCTTTGGCCTCCAGAGCAGTAAACAATCCAAAAGTTTGGTTAAAAGAAAATGTTTGCACCTTTTGGTGGATTCTGTCCCCAGCAGCTTGGTTTTGGTTTATGTAAACTTAGCTTTTGCCATTTCTTTCTTCTCCTTTCTTCTCCATGAGATATCTGGTCTGTCCTAACCCTTTCCCACTTTCCTGACTCGCTCCAGCTGCAAATGACAGTAACGTTTTATTTTTCGGTCAGCTGAAACTTTTCTTAACCGGCCCAGCTCCACCCAACTGTCCTATCAGAAATAATCCCATTTTCTCCCAACTGAGGTTGTCCAAGGAGCTTTCTGTTAGAGGCAGGTTGTTCACAGTTTTTTTTAAACAAACCTCTTCTTTTTCACAGTGAACAAGAATCGAGGCTGCTGCGACGAAAGTGCATTAAGCTAAAGCCGACTCAAAAGGACAACCTCGCTCTGATCCAAGACTCTCTGGACGACCAAGCAAACCTCGCAGCAGTCGCAGGAAATGGAGCGAAGGGAGGAAGGAGGGGGTCCACCCTTCAGAGACTGTCGGGAGTCAGCATGATTCAGAACCACTTCTCCAAGCAGCAGAGATACTTTACTGCCAGGATTGTGGTCATGGGGGATGACAGGGTGGTGGGCCGCCTGGCAAAGGCCTACTACCAGTACAGGTAAGGCCCTGTGTAATAAAGACTGCATGTGCTACCTTATTGAAGGTAGATAATGGAATGTAGGTAGTGAGCTTCAGTGATTTTTGCAGCTCATTCCAGTCGTTGGAAGCAGCGAACTGGAATGAGGAGCGGCCAAAGGAGGTGCAAGCTTTGGTAATGACCGTAGATTAAGTTACTGGAACGTAAACTGCGCTGGTTGTTGGAAGTGATGAGTAACGAGCGGGAATGGAGTGATGATCAGTTAACGAGTGTGATCACAATTATGAGTAGTGAAAGGGGCACCAGTGACAAATTGGATTGCTGAGAGATAAATGCCATTGAGTTTATGAAGAAGGATTTAGGAAGCAGTCCTGTAAATGATGTCACCGTAATCTAAGATGGGAAGGATTGTCATTTTGACCAAGCTTTGTTTTGCAGAATGAGTAAAGGATGACCTTTTTCTATAGAAACCCAATTCTTGACTTGACTTTAGAAAGTAATCAATTAATGTGATTTTCAAATGAAAGTGTGGTGTCAAGCCAGATACCCAAATACGTATAAGAACTGATAAGTTGTAGTTCTGCACCATCCAGGGAAGCAATACTAGGGTGGAAAGTTGATTGTGGTAAGTTACAGTTGAAGATCATAGACTTTGTTTTACTTGTGTTTAAATGAAGATGAAGGTTGGAGAAGGCATGTTGAAGACAATTAAAGTTGTGCTGCAATGAGGACAAAGCTGCATTCAAGGAAGAACTGCATGTATATAAAATGGTGTTATCTGCGTATATGAGAACTGTCAACAGTAGCGATGGGTACCGAATTCGGTACTTTTTAAGGTACCAACTGAATTCCATAGTACCGACTGAGCACCGATTCACGTCTTTTGAAGCAATGCCTTATTTCGGTACCCGTCCTTCATAACGAGAACTTGCCTGCCTAGACAGCTGCGCATGCGCAAGAGCGTTATTTGGTCAGTCGCTGCGAGCGTCATATAAACAGAGCATCATGGTAGAAAGAACGCACGCTAAAGCTTGGGTCCACTTCACTAAATGTGATGATGAAACCAGCGACAACGATCTAAGTGAGACATCCTCATCTTAATCTGCTCCGGTAGGTAAATAAAATGTTTAAGATAAAGTTAGCTTGATATGTTAGCTTCCGTTTCACTAATGGTGCGTTCGCTTTCTCCTCGGAACTCCGAATTTCTGACTAGAAGAACATGAACGCGCTCTAAAGTTTGGCTTTACTTTACTAAATGCGACGGGTGATTGGGTGAAGATGAAACCAGTGACAACGATCTAAGTGTGAGGCATCATCGTTTTAATCTGCTCCAGCAGCTAAATAAACTGTTTAAGATAACGTTAGCTTGATATGTTAGCTTCCATTGCTACCATTGTTATCAGCTAATGGTGCGTTCGCTTTCTCCTCGGAAATTCTAACTTCCCAGTAGGAAAAATCAAATGAAAAAAGACAGCAAAAGGAATGAAGATACACAGTAAATTTAGTTCACAGTAAAGATGTTTGCTTCAGTTTAATTATCAGCTTATAAAACTACAAGAACGATGTTAAAATACAAACAGTTGAATGTTATTTATCGTGATATTTATCAAATATGGTTATAAATTGAGAAAAATATATATTTAATTATAAAAAAGAATTAAAATATTAAACACTCAAAAGTATCGAATGTTGGTACCGTTAAGTACCGGTATCGATTCCTAGGTACCGGGAATTAGTACCGAATCGATTCAAATGTCAAAGGTACCCATCCCTAGTCAACAGTGTCAACAATGTTATTAATATAGATTTCGAATAAGGTTAGGCCCAGTATCAACCCTTGAGGAACGCCCATAGATAGAGGTAGAGGAATAGAATGGTAACCCTCTGTTCTCACTGTTGCATATAAGATTTAAGATATATGCTTCCAAAAGTGTATGGCAGCTCTTTCCTCTTGAAGGAAGGATTTGATGTTTGCTGAACTTACAGCCATTTTTCCTCTGCTTTTCTATGTATTTGGTTCAATTATTTCAATTTGGTGATGCACATTTGTAGTCCTGGACTTATTTTCACACAATGAAAACCATGGCGGATAACAAAAGGGATGAGAAAATAAGTGTTTGTAGCCCCATTGATGCATTAATTTTTTTGTTCTTCCGTTTACCCATGGTCTGGAAAAAGATGGGTGTGAGTTAGTCTCCTTATGTTTTTGTTTTGGTGAAACTTTAAAACAAAACACTTGATGTGACCAAATCTGGCCCAACCTGCTAGCATTTGGAGTTTTTTTTAGTTAAAGCTGTTGAAGCAAATCTGCAAACAAGCTAGGTTTTGAACGCAAACACGGTCACGGAACACTCATCCCTTTGTTAACTCGTTCACTGCAAGCCCTCTCCTGATTGCTAACGGACTTCGCTGCCAGCGTTTCTCACCGTTTTTACTGTTTTTTTAAGAGTCACAGAACGTTGCGCGCTAGGATGATGTCGATGCCAAAACAACCAAAACAACGCAGAGACTCACCTCTTACATCAGGAAGAATCCGTGTGTTTGGAGCGTTATCCGTTCTTTCATAATCCGTTGTTGAATTGTGATCGGCAGACGCTTTTCCGGTTCGCGCCTCACTTTTTTTACAGGAACGGCCCAAAACGATCTCCTAATACATGGATGGTCTGCTTCCTGATCATGTGACGTGTGACGTATGCGGATGAAGATGGGCTTCAGGACTGAGATGTTTGTTCTCTCAGCACGGGGGCTCGTTCTGATGCTCGAACAGTAAAAAAAATGCAAATGACGATTTTAGTCGTCATTGGCAGTGAACGAGTTAAGAGGCAAAAAAGATGTTTTAAGTTAATTTGTTTTCCAAAGCCGTTGCAGTTTTAACGGCATTTTTATGATCGCCAATGTTCATTGACTCCAAAAGTTCCATCATTTGTAGATGTTTGCATGGAAAGTCTTTTCTGAAACATAATAATACTCGGAAACATTTGGCCCACACATACACACACACACACACGCACATACGCACGCACACACAAACACGTACACACACTCACGCACTCACACGCACGCACGCACACACACGCACGCACGCACGCACGCACACACACACATACACACACACACACGCACGCACACAAACACGCACACACACACGCACACACAAACACGTACACACACACACACTCACACACACACACACACACATGCACGCACACACAAACGCACACACACACACACACACGCACGCACGCGCACACACACACACACGCACGCACACACACACACACACGCACACATGCACACACACATGCACACACACACACACACAAAAGGAACGTGGGAAACATTTTTACCCACATGTAGTCTGTCGACGGTGAGCGATAAACGTTCTTTGCATCAGGTCCAGTCCCTTTGGTAAAGTGACCTCACGCACATAAAACCTCAACCAAACTTTCAAATTCAGATTTGTGAACTAAACATATTTTGTGTAATTAAAGTCTTTGAAGCTACAAATGTTTGGAGCCTTTCACAGACTTGTGGTGTTGCCTTTGCAGGAAAAGAGAAGCACGGCGGCTCTGTCTTACAATGAAAATCAACCTCCAGTTTTACTACATTCCAGTTTGTGCAGCTCCCGCTCCTTCCTCCTCTGCCAAGGTGAGGCGGCTCCCTCCTGTCAACACAGTGCCACTACCTGAGAGTCAACAAACACACAGTTAATCTCAGTAACATGAGAATGAAGGCGAGAAAGGGGTTTTTGTGGGTGAAACTGAATCTTTTTTTATTTCCTGTAATTCCTAAGACCACAGGGATCTTCAGAACGTCTACACCACAGCTAAACGGACTTTTATGTTCCTCGTTTGTAGGTGAACCTCTGCCAGCCCAAGGGGAATCCCTGCACTCTTGGTTCCTACCTGAGCAACGTGGACCCGTGGTACAGCTGTAACATCAGCAGTATGGGCAGCACCATTCACGGACTAGCTAAAATGGTACCACACCATTTCTGAAATCTGTTAAAAGTTTCGTTTACAGACTGAGACAGACACGTAAGTCTAAAGACAGGTGCATTGGGCAAGTGGTCACAGTTGCTTCAGCACCACTGCGTCGCTGCTCAGCCAACATGGCTGCTGCGTTTTGCATGAGCTGAAACACAGGAAGTTGCATAAGATTGTGAGAGAATACAGATGTGTCGAGTTCACCAAAAGCACAACCACATGGAACAGCTCTGACCGTGTCTTCAGTCAGAGTCATGCAGCTAGAGTCAGCTGAGTGTTGGTCTATTAAAGTAAAACATGAAGAAGAAGTCATGTTTGTCTTTTTGACAGCTAGGAGCGCCAGAGGAGCTGGCAGAGGCGCTACATCTTTGTCCAGTGAAGGCTCATTTCAGTTTCCCTTTGTTTTAGCAGCAGGTGAACCCTGCCAGCTCTAAAGACCCCTTCATCTCTGATGTCATCGCCTACTACGTCCGCAGCGGCCAGCAGCCCGTCTTCTTCACCATCTATTCTGTTAAGGTAGCATCAGACATCATACAGTGGCGTTCGCCAGCGTGCCGTCTGGTTAAATCACCGGTTCCATTGTTTTATTTACTTTTCCTGTTTTTCTAAGATTACATTCACCAACCCTACGAAGGATCCGGTGGACGACGTGTTCCTGACACACCTGGAGTTTGAGTTTCCAGAATTCAGACAGATCTCATCTTCAGTTAGGGGTGAAATAATAATAATAATAATAAATAATAATAAAATCGTGTGCCTCTTACACTAAGAACTAGTCCACACGTAGCCGTTTTTTTTAAACGAATATCCGCCCCTCCAAAAACTTGCGTCCACACCACCTCGTTTTAAAAAAAACTCTGTCCACACGTACCCGGATAAATACGTTGTTAAGGACATGCCAGACCTGTAGGCGGCAGTACTTCCCCCGTTCTTAACCTCGTCCTTCGTCTGTGGTCTTCCGCAAGCAGCAGTAATTCCTCTTGCAAAAACAAACAAGCAGAAAGCGCTTGGACGATTGATAAAGCGAGTGCAGCTCTGAGGGCATCCATGCTGTCGGCTAGTGTAAACACAGGTCACACACGTGATGTCAGCATTTTTTTGTCGTGGAAAGTGACGTTGCGGACCTTAAAACTCCGGTTTTGTCCGTCCACACGCAGACACCCAAAACGGAGAAAACGCAGATCTTCACTTTGGCCGGAGCTTTTAAAAAGATCCGTTTTCGTGTGAAAAAACTCCGTTATCGTGTGGATGACAGGCCAAAACGTAGAAAAATATCTACGTTTTGGCAGATCCCCGGCTACGTGTGGACAGGGCCTGAATCTGCTTTTCTGAGTGTTCATAACAATACTTGATGGCCCATTTTGTCCTAATCACTAGTTTAACACTAGAGATGGTCCTATACAGGGGCGTGTCCAGGAAGTGGCCTGGGGTGGCACATGCCACCCTTAGAATCTGATTGGCCACCCCAGGTGCCACCACACTAAGTTCCAGTTTAAATTGACCTTACATTGTCAACAAAAGGCTTAGGTCGTTAACTCCAAAATAGTGTGTGGTTGCATGCACCTTTCAACTTGTTTTCCAGCCCAGGCCTGTAGTATTAATATTCATATATTTTCATATTCACATACATAATATTTAGAGTCCCACTCAACTCCAGTTGGTGGCAGTAATGCAACAAGAAGTGACTTGCTAACCACCACAAAACTGGAAGAGGAAAAAAAAGGTTATTGTGCAATGTGAAACTCAAAAATTCACTAGAAAGTAAATAAATAAATAAACGATTTGTGTAAATAAATAAAAAAGCATAAACATTGGTGCCACCCATGAATAAACAAGTGCCCCACATGGGCCACCCCATTTTAAAAGTCCTGGACACGGCTCTGGTCCTATAAGGTACACATATGCGTGTAAACACACACACACACACACACACACTTCAGCCCAGTTGTACCTATCGGACCGATACCAGTATGTTAAAAAACTGACTGACAGCCAATGCTGAAGCAGATATGTGAGTGGGAAATAAATGAAGCCAAAAGTATTTTGCGCGCACACTTCCTGCTTCATCCGACAAAGCCAGCTGCACCAAAACACCATCCTCCCTCTTTTGTTTTTTTGTTTATTTGTTGGCGTACATCCATGTCTGACATCATCCCTCAAACTCTCAAACAGATAGAAGGAAGAGCTGCGGGGAAATCTGTGGAGCTGTCGTCTCTATGAATTACAAAAAGGTGAATGACCTTTTATCCCGTTGTGAGTCTCCTTTTAGGATTCTGAAAGTGTCACCAAATGCCTGATCACATCCTAAATAAGTGTCCAGACTGATGCTTTTACTTCCTGTGTCCAGGTGATGTTGAGTGGTCGAGACGTGGACGTCGGAATGTCGGTCAGAACGTCGGGTGCTCAGATCGCAGCCATCCCTTCCAGCGAGGCAGAAGGTTTCGTGTTGGCTTTATTCCGCACAGTTCTGCCATCTTTAAAGTGTTTGACGCCTCTCATCTGTTATCTAACAGACTTGAACTGTTTGACTCTGACTATGAATGAAGCTCCCACAAAGACAAAGAGCCAGAATGTGGTGAGTCGATTACAGAGCACTCGAAAAACCGTTTGTTCCGTGTTTTAAAAAGTATTACAGGTTTCACTTTAAAGGTACGTTGGGTAAGAATTTTACTGTGAAATAATTCAAAAACAGCCTAATGTCTCAGTCGTGTTGGAAGGAAGGTTGTATTAAACAGATTTCCTTCTCATCCCGCTGAGGGTTGCCAGTTTTTCTTACTATTGTTGTTTCATATCATATTTGAGCCTGTGGGGTTGCCAAGTCTGCACCCGTATTTGTAATTCAACACCAGCCGGCGAAAAGTAGCAGAGTTGTGGAACACATATTTGGCCTGATGATTACTGGATTTCTTCTGATTGGAATGGGAGGATATCTGGTTTTCCGAAAAATTGGGAAGACGGGAGCGATTGGAGGGCGACCTGCACCCATGGACAGCACGGTCCGGGTGGAGACCTCACAGACTGGGACGTTACTCGAGGTGAATCGTAAGCTGGACAATGTCTTAGCTGCGTTACCGGTGTTAGTGCGCAAAATGGATGTCATCTCGGAGAGGGTCACTGGACGGTGTGGAGATGTTTAATAACCCGAATTGGTTTCACTGAAGGACTGGAATGACCAGTTACAGACTGAAGGCAGAGGGGAAAATTATCTCTGCCTGACCCAAACACAGTCTTGTTATCCTAATCTGACGCCAAGGCAGCCTTGAAGCTGCAAATAATCATCCCCCACAAAGGAAGGAATGCAGACAGATGCTGTGAACCCCCCCCCCCCAGATTGTGGACTTCACAGCGAGGCCGTCAACCTGCAGGATTGTGCTCTATGCTCCTCCCAAGATCTCTCTCCCTGCTGTGGATACAGCTGGCTGAGCGCAGCACACATGGCAGCTGGCCCTGGAAAAACAGGATCCCAGCCCCCCCCCCCCCCCCCCCCCCCCCCCCCCCCCCCCCCAACGGAGTCTCATGTTGTGAATGTTGAAGTTCGTGCTTATATGTTTGAGGTGTTTTTTTGCATAGTACAGCTACGCCCTGTCGGGAGTAACTCTGGTATGCCTTTTTTGTCCCTCCCCCAACCTATCCTCATGTAATTCCTTTTCATCTATTAAGGTAGCACGACTCGTGTTGCGAATGACCGCAGTCACCAATTCTTGTCATGTGTCTGGCCCATGTACGTCTGATCGCTGAATTGTGTGTACTGAAACTCAATTTCGTTTCTCTGTATGTCTTGCACATGTGGTAGGAATGACTATAAATGACTTTGATTTGACATGCTAGTCATTAAAAGGAGCGACCCAGAGGTATTTCCTGCCTCTAAGAGGCCACGGCATCCTTTTGCTTAACTCTACATCGTGCGAAGAAGGCTAGAGCCTAACGTTACACCGAAGTAGGCTACAAGACCTGAAAAGCCACACATAGTGTCCTGTTACAAAAAAATCAACTACAAAGCAAGGTCTAAAGCTCTGCAGGCCTCAGATTTGATTGAAAAAACTGAAACTGTAGTCAGGAGGTTTAAGCAACAATTATCTGTTGTTTTGGGGACTGGGCAGGAATCGAGCATCCGGACCAGCAGCATTAAGATTCGCACCTTGGAGGAGACACGATCTTTCATTCTGACTCTAGACAGAGACAGCCGACGGGCCTACAAAAATGTTCAGAGGTAACCCCACTGGTCATTAGATTTGAATGTGTCAGTGATATTTGACTCTGGTTCTTGTTTTTCCAAGTTGTATCAGTAACCTCACCCTGTATGCTTCTTTTAGCATCGAGATCTCCCCCTGCCTGGATCCAGGATACTGCATTCAGAAAACTATCAGGTCCAAATTCAGCTTGGGAGACAATAAAGACGCTGGACTCAGCAAGTACATGAGCAAAACTCTTCCTTTGCCCATTAATACATTCGCTGGGATCATCAACTGATGAGGAAGTACCTCCGACACACGGAGGCCCTGTCCACACGTAGCCGGGGATCTGCCAAAACGTAGATGTTTTTCTACGTTTTGGCCTGTCATCCACATGAAAACGATCTTTTTAAAAACTCCGGCCAAAGTGAAGATCTGCGTTTTCTCCGTTTTGGGTGTTTGCGTGTGGACGGACAAAACCGGAGTTTTAAGGTCCGCAACGTCACTTTCCACGACAAAAAAAATGCTGACATCACGTGTGCGACCTGTGTTTACACTAGCTCAGTGGTTCCCAAATAGGGCTGCAACAACGAATCGATGAATTCGATGAAAATCGATTACTAAAAGCGTTGGCAACGAATTGCGTCATCGATTCGTTGTGTCGCACAACTCTTCCAAAAGCTCCCCCCCCCCTTCCCGCCCACCGTTGCGCGCAGACCAGAGCAAGTCAGATCAGCGCGAGGGAGAGCGGCAGATCAGCGCGAGGGAGAGCCGGCAGACTTGCGCTGCTGCGAACCGGTTCCGCATTGTTGCACAGCGATCCAGGCAGCTGCTTCCAGCGCACGGTCCATTCTCAAAGTGGCGCAACCAAAAAACTATAATTAGCACACGATCGTTCTTGTCTGCACATGTTCTCTATTTTCTGTCTTATTTGTGTCTGAAGCGCTCTGCTACTGCGGAGCTCATCACCTGTGCTGTGGTGATTTCACCTCACGCAGCATCGAAAACGCGCTCTCCGCTTTGCGGTCAGGAGATCTCTTTGATCTGCTCAAAAGTAACTGATGAGGTGAAAAAGTAAGAATCCAGGCAACAGATTTTCTGGAGAATTATGAGGAGATGCAGGAAGATGAGAGACAGACAGGACAGGAAAATAGTTAAATAAAAACAAGAAAACAAAGTAAAATGTAGGTAGATTTATCTCCACTACACGTTTTTACCAGTAAAAAACAATAAGTTATACACATGTCATAGTTATACATCTGATACAATTCAGATCACCTTCAAAACTCAGTCACACACCCAGGGCCGTTTCAAGACATTTTGGGGGCCAAGGCAAAATGTCCCCCCCCCCCCCCCCCCCCATAACTGGGCTCCCCAGAAGCCTCTGTGTAATTCATGCCCTCTCCAGGAGTGTTAGTTATACAGTGTTTATAAAAGCCCCGCAGACATTACTGACATGTTCTAATATATCAGATGAAAAACTAAATTATCAGACATGCTGTCTCATCTGCTTCTTTTCTAAACTTGCAAAAAGTAACAAAACCATTTGAAAGCCACTATTTGTGGATTCTCTGAAAGTTTCCATGGAGTGTGTGACAACTTATTTTATCATTGATCCTATCGTCTAATCTCACAGTTGAAACAAGCATCCTTAATAATCTGTGCACAGGAAGCTTACCGATGC